ATTATTTAGGGTACTGATGTGTTCTATGCTTAGTAAGTAAACACATTACTTTTTAAAGTGAATATATATATATATATATAATAAAAGAATATATATACAGTATATATATAATTAATCATCAAAGAAATGTAAATACAGTGTTTCAATAAAGGACACAATAATACATCGCGTAGCATAGCTCTCAACGAATGTAGTCCTGTAAATAAATGAATAAAGAAATTGTGTAATAAAATGCCTCTGGTGGGACTCGAACCTGCGACCCCTCGCTGTCAAGGCGAGAGTCATAACCATTAGACCACGGAGGTTTCATGGTTGAACAGATTCAAATACCACCAGATACACTCTATTACACAATAGGTACGGCTAGAAACAATATAGTTACATATAATATAAATCAAGAAAGCCATTAACACTGTTAAATTATATATAATTAATCATCAAAGAAAGGTAAATACAGTGTTTGAATAAAGGACACAATAATACATCGCGTAGCATAGCTGTCAACTTATGTAGTCCTGTAAATAAAATAAATGAATAAAGAAATTGTGTAATAAAATGCCTCTGGCGGGACTCGAACCTGCGACCTCTCGCTGTCAAGGCGAGTGTCATAACCACTAGACCACGACACATCTAGATGTGTATAAGAGACAGGATCTAGGTTGCGAAATGGGGACCTGGTTTGGTAATGGCTGATGTTGATTCATGTTTGGTCAGGAACACGCTAGATTGAACATTGCAAAAAATGAAGTGAATCTTCAGCACATCCTAATAATAATAAATATATATATATATATATATATATATAAATTTTACATGACAAAAACATGTGACGTGCCTAAATATGGTCGTGATTAATCACTAAATGACCATATATAGGCATATTATGCCTATATATGGGCATACAACAATTTTTTGTCAGAATATTTGATAATCTGGACAGAGGTTAAGATGTATGTTGAAATATCGTGGTAACTTTTGTTTATTATTTATATATTTTGATTAAACGCTTTAGGTTGTATTTCCGTTTTATTTTAGTACGGTCAGTCAATGACAACCACTGGTGCTGCTGATCTCCGAACTTTACTTTTTATTAAATATTTTAGTCTCGAATGGAAAGAAAGGAAAACAAATCAAGAAATTGATGAGCACATCTAAGCCGAACTGCAACTGTTACATATTATGTAATGAAAGACAGAATTACTTGGGGAAAATAGTAAGAAGAAACGGATTGTGAATAGAGCTTCTGGAGGAAAAATAGACGTGAAAGTTTGGCCAAAGCACGAGGAATGTATGGAAAAGATAGCGAGAGATCCATGGCCAACAAACTGTTGAGAGCAGGCGACACCAAACAGTAACGAATCAACTTGTTGAAAAGTTAGATACAAATATTGAATACAAAATAACTTATAACCGTTATCTTAATATTCACCTATTATTCAATCCATGCCTACAATTGCTGCTAGTTTGATACACAACACAGGTCTGATATGTTTTCACTTTCATTTCATTTCAAGTAACATTTATTCAATGAATTAATCAAAAATATAATAATAGGCCTACATAAATTTGGCCAACATCAACATTAATTTATTTTGATCAAAAATAGTAGCAGAGGTTATGAACCGAGTGATATGGAATGCTAGTGTACAGTAAGATTTTTTTTTCTTGAGGGGGGGGTGGGTGGTGGGGTGGTGGGGAAGTTCCTGTATTTAATCTACCTAGACTTAGATTTATATTTGGCATTATCTTATGATAATATAATTATATTAGTTGGCGACTTTTTTTAAAGACCTAAATGTTATCGTTCGGCCAGAAACGGGTTTCTAAAAAGGGAAATGACTTCCAAAATGGTGGACGCTATAGCTAATGTATAATATCGCATCGTCGTCTTCAGAACTATACTAAGCAAAATAATATAAACTACAGTAGTCTTATATATATCTGTTTCCAAGCACCTGAACTTACCTTAGTATATGCGCCTCGTTCTTTGGTGACTTTCTGTAGTTTGTTCCGATAAACACGGATGATTTCTTACCAACTTTTAGTAACCAAGGTTAACATAAGTACACTGACCATTGACCAATCAATTGGGTCTGATCAATGCCTATACAATTTTCCACAATGTAGTTTCCTTCACTTGCAGCGACAAAACAATAACCCTTCATAATACCCCTAGTTACTGTATTACGTGCGTCTATTACTGTGAGTTGCCATAACAACTAAATTAACGTAACGTTTTGTAGGCCTATTGAATTGTTCGTTTAAATAAAAACATAAATTTATCGAATTAGGATTAGGCCTATCTTCCAGAATGAATAT